ATATTATATATATACATATATATATATATATATATATATATATATATATATATATATATATATATATATATCTTAAATTTTTAGAATCATTGAATCTATCCGCCTTGCAGCATAAACTTTGGATATAGTTTCATGAAACTTTAGGAATAGTTGGCCATCTAAATAAAATTTTTATCATGCTAGACTTTGGACCTTTCTGATATCAAACTTGATTATTTTGATAAAACAGGTGAAGAATTTGGGAGAATATGCGCTCTTTTTATGCAACAACCAATCTCTTTGTCTCTCTTGTAAAGACTTACCTGAGTTGAAACCAAACCACATCTATTTCACCAATGACTTCTGGTGGTTGAATAATAACTGGTGGTGGAAAGATCATGTAAAGAAATGCCGGGATCTAATCGTCTATGACTTGGAGAACGAAACCCTCTCATATATTTTGTACTCTGATGCTCGTCTAAACATGCCACCTCCTATTTGGATCACTCCCAGTCCTCTGCTTAATGACTGATAGGTGAGTCAAATTTGTTCTTTCATCTTGGATCATGGGCTAGGTCTGCTTAAAGGATATTGCACACTTTTTTGTTCTTTCGTCTTGATGCTCATTTAGTTTCTTTATTTCTCATGTAATTTAGGGGTTTAAGAATTCTCTTGGAGACGCAAAAGAACATGCCATCAGTAACTTCTCTCTCTCTCTCTCTCTTTCTCTCTCATATGCAGTTTCTTCTTCCTCCTCCGGAAGAAGCCAATGATATCTATATGTACAAGCGAGTCACAGAATCTTTTGCTTTCGATCATTCTCGTCTCTGATCGGTTTGCCCACACCGAGGTGGATGGCTTCGCTCTCTAAGGTCTGTCTGGTGGGATGGGTTATGGCCTTGAGCTTCTCCTCAAGAATTATTCTTATTCTGTTTCAAGTCTTGTGTAATATGAATCCTGATCAGATTATGTGTATGTTTTGTTCGGAGCCTGCTTTATCTGATGTGTTTATATCAATGTTGGTTTTGGTTGTTCCATATCTAACAATCCAACATCTCCTTGCACAACTCGAAGATGTATAATTCATTGTATGTAAAAAAGAAGTTTGCACTGCTTCAAAGGGATTGCCATTTTCATCACTTCAAAATATAAAGATTCATTCATAAGTGAGATGATGAAACTTCATTTGTTCTCTCGACGTATGATAAGATATCTGAGGCCTTTTGGACCTCGTGATCTTGTCATCTAATGAGTCATCATTGATCCCCCAAGAAATTATCTACTGTGGAATCTCCGCATGCTTTTATCCTACTGAGATGATGAAACATGATCTACTACAATGGGCCAACCTTAAGTGGTTCTAACAGGGAACATGTGGCAGGCCCACTCAACCGCCACGTGCGCACAGCAAGCCCACAATCCATATTATAAACTTTGACCAAGTAAAATACAACATTTTTTTTCATGAAATCATTTATTTTGATTAATGATTAGCACTGTCACATTTGAATGATGATTTAGGAAGATCTTCTAATTAGTTACTCAAGTTACCTGATATTCTACCACACTTATTAGTCGGAGGTGGACTATTGTGGGTTCCACTTGGGCTCCATCTGTAGTGGAACAGCGGGTGCGCGTAAAATCTTTACGCAGTGGAACCCTCTTCTGTTAAACCATTAACATGATGCCACGTGTAATAATATTCATTTGTGGAACCCAATAACTCCACTCCTCTAAAAGCCGCCTTCTTCCGATTTTTATTAAAAAAGGTTGTTCCACGACTGAAGATCCTCGCAAATGTACCTGTTTTTTTTTTCCTTAAAAAGCTGAGCCCGAATACTGACTAGATATAGCAATCTATGATAATAGATTGGCATCATATGACGATTTATGATAATATTTTTACTCATGTCTAAAATAATAATTATATTTTAAAAACGTAACATATAAGTCCCTCCCGTCATGACCAGATATGGCGATCTATGACATTAGAGTCTCCTTACAACATATGTTGACTCGTAATAAACTATTAATATAATGATATATAATTTAAATTTTAAAAAATTGATAATAGGCAGATTTAGAACATGGACCGACCACCTAATCAAGTTCCTTCAAAATGAGCATTTCCACAATCTAGTAGGCGACACGCTTAGCCTTGCCTCGACATCTGTTATAGAGGTAGAAGCCTCTTAGCACCTACGATGGCCGAAAAATCCATAATAGAGAGCCAATCCCCCGAGCGTAAAGAGGAAACCACCAGTCACATTACGCACTTCAACATCCGAAACTTCTCCTCTATCATGCCTTGGCTCATGTCTTATTGGGAAATCTTTAAGGGCGACATCACATACGCAGCGGAAGAACAGAAAAATAAAATATGTGTTTGTCGTTGTGCGAAGATTGGTGTGCAAAATCCATAAAACTTAAAACTGCACATAAGATAGATTGTATTAAATAGGGAGATCGTATATCCCTGAATAATTCCCTCATGGAGGTGACCTAGCCTATAATGTCATAGGTATACACTGTTCACATCATCTCATCTCCTCTTAGACACACTTACATTCATTATATACGGATCATTGTCTAGCATAAACAAATCATTATGCAATATTCTTCTCGCGAATCTATAAGGCTTTGTCAAAATCTGTAATAAATTGCAGATGTGATAAGCACTGTCGGTATCCAATACTCATGCAGTATCATAAGAATCTGACAATTGGAGACTGATCATGAATGTACCTGAAACTTCTCCAAGCTTCTGTTTCGCTCTCTTTACAAGGTACTATTTGTAGTTCCTCTTCCAGTACTCATCTTTACCACAATGGAAGCACTGGCCTTTGTCCATTGCTGGGTCATTCTTAGCAATCTTTGTTTTACCTAATCTGCCCTTTCCCTTCTTAAAGGACTTTTCTGCTTTTTTTTTTGTTTTTTTTTTTCTGTCTCACTAGTATAAAGAACTGACTTCTCTTTTTTAATAGTGCTCTCTGCCTCCCTCAACATATTGAGGAGCTCAAGGAGAGTCACCTCAAGCTTGTTTATGTTGGGAAATCTTAGGGGGGCGGCATCATATGCGCAGCAGAAGAACAGAAAATAAAATCCCCAATTCCTAAAGATATGTTCACCGTCGTGTAAAGATTGGTGTATAAAATCCGCTAAACAGAAAATCATGTGTGAGATAGATTATGTTACTAAGGGAGATCGTATATCCCTGAATTCCTACATATCTCCAAGAGAGGGCGAAGGAGGTCAAGCGCCCTCCTCTCTAGCGGTGGTCCATACAGTAGGGCTGCGATGACGCTCCTCAAAACTCCAAGCCTACTCTAAGGTGGAGAGAGGGAGGAGAATAGGAGAGGCAACCAAAAAGCTCTAGCCTATAAACCACTAGCTCTCTTCTATTTATAGAGGTCCTATGTCAACTTAACCGTAATGGATCCTGCCCTATTGGGTATTGGATCTCCATCTAACTACACAAATCTCTTAGATTAATGGATCTCTATCGAATAATCTCTCATGAACTCTTATTGGATCTCATTCATAGGATCCAATAATTTAGGGACTTATTAGATATCCAATAAGATAGGGGCTCTAGCGAATATCTCATATCCGAACCTCTACTCATCGCAATACTTACCATATGTGTGTGACCCTCTAGGCCCAATATTTAGCTGGTCATGAGTCATACCTATCAGAACTCCTTATGGTTCAATGAATTATTATCTTCATAATAATTCACTCGACTCATCGACTACGGACGTACTAGGCCACTATGCCACAGTCCCTAGACGATACAAAAGAATCCAATCCACTCGACATGTCTGACCTTAGTTACCATGTACATATAGTCTCTCATCCATCTAATATCCCAGATATCATATACCGGTCATGGTGCTGTCAGACCCATATGGTTTCTACTCGAGTCTCGCTTTAATCGGATTCTCCTAGAAAACCTTTTCTCTCTTAATCCGAATGACCCTGGCCAGGGATTTGTCATAGCAAAAACACATGGGGGCGGGGTGGTGGGGGTGAATTAGTATAGCGAAAATTTTCGACGATTTAAAACGACGTTCGTACGATAAAAAACGTCTTCGATGAAAAATCATTTCGGAAAGTTCTTCAACTTAAGATCAAAGGAAAGTATAGTTGAAGTAAAGCAATGGAGGTAGTTTGCAGTTTAAAATAGAAAGCTGAATGTAAATGCAAACCGAGATTTAGAGTGGTTCGGTCAATCTTGACCTACATCCACTTTTGGCTTCCTCCTCCGATGAGGTCACCGATGTCCACTAGAGGCCTTCCTTCAATAGGCAAAGGTCAATCACCTTTTACATCCCTCTTCTCCTTCTACTGGGTTTAGGAGACAACCCTTACAAGCACTCACTCTGCTCTCTAAATAGAACTCTAACACTTAGACTCAAAGAGGAGGATTCACAAGAGATTGCAACAGCTTTTTCTTGCTTTTAATCACTCTGTGCTTATGCGTTTTAACCAGAGATGAGAGGGGTATTTATAGGCTTCAAGTTGATTCAAACTTGGAGCCTAAATACTTCTCATCCCGGGTTTCCTGGGCACGGGCGGGACCACCGCCCAGTGTCAGTCTGACGTTGACACTGCCTGGGCGGTACCACCGCCCAGATCTGTGGTACCATCGCTTGAGGCATAGTGCTGGGTGGTACCACCGCCTGGCACCTTACCAGCGCAGTACAACCGCCCATACTAACGGTACCACTGCCTGATATAGTCTCGAAGATTGTGCCACGACGGTGAGTCTTCTTGGGGCACTATTTGGGCCTCTTATTGGGCCCAACATAGTTCTTACATGGGCTTAGCTGGCCCCTAATTGGGTTAGCCCAAATCCAAGCCCAATTACATGCTAACTACGATTCCTAAGACATATTTCTAAGCTAAGTCTGTAAGTCTTGGTTCTTCCAGCGAGCTTTCGGCGATCTTCCGGTGAACTTCTGACAATCTCTCAGCAATGTTCCGATGGACTTCTGGCAAGCTCCTGGACTTCACAACGATCTTCTTGGTGAGTTCCGATGAGCTTCTCTAGCAAGCGCCGTGACTTCTCGGCTAGTTCCGCCAGAACTTCCGACGAACGTCCGGACTTCTGACAAACTCTCGAACTCCCAACGTAATCGCATCCTTAACTCCGAGACTTCATTTTGCTTCATGCCTTGCTGTCATAGTTAATCCTGCACATGTAAAACATACTTCGATCTAGACAATTAATCCTAAGCAATAATCAAGTTGTCCGGCCTATCATTAGTCCCTCGACGCTTCGTTCGATTCTTCGGCGCATCGTCCTCTCTTGCGGCCTATTGCCTAATCGGCCAGTTGACTCCGCAACTCCGATATCCTTGGTGCAATTCCCGCTCTTCTTGGCCCGATGCTCGAATCCAAGCCTTCTGTCGATACGTCGACCATTCCACCGGCCCGACATCCAATCTTTTGACATGTTTTCCCCCAACACAACATGATTCTTCATGCTTTAATTGTCTCAGCCTAATCGAAGCATCACTCAAAATAAAGATTAAATCATAAACACATATCAAATGGTTTCATCATCAAAATATGAGATTCAACACTATCGACACTCAATAGCCCTCGTAAGGTTAACTACCACTCTTGGTGACCGGTTGTGCTAGATCTGGGATATCCTAACCTATAAGTCCGGTATCAAAGAGTGGAGCACTCATACAGGACATCCTTGGTATCTCAAGTCTAAGGACAAATTACACCACTGGGACTACGGAATCGTTGTCTGACAATAAGGCATCATTAACCATTCAGCATTCCGTAAGTAAATCAATCAGTGAATTCATTCCCCGATGAGCACCTCTATTGTATCCCTGGTGTCCCCACATGAGTAGCTATAAAGACCAACTACATCCATCATATGGACGTGTATACAATACACTAGTCTATTCGGTTATCTTGATGTCTCTCTCGAGTAACTTATGACAGAGATTATTTAGGATATGTGATTAAAGGCGAATCGATCTCATTATCGTGATCTCATCACGTGATTGGCTTGCAGGACACATATGACTAGCATTTTATATTAAAATTCATTATGAACTGTGAAAAGGAATCTAGTAGGAACTTATGCACAATATCCACATGCAAGTTGTCCTCTAGAACCATTTCTAAACATATATATATATATATATATATATATATATATATATATATATATATATATA